CTGGGGCCAGGCGCTGTTCAAGCATTGGTCTCACATGGTCACGTGAGGCAGGTGGGCTTATCCCTGATGGATGTAGCACTGACTCCATCACGGCATGCACCCACAGGCCAGTGACTACAGAAGCTGTACCAGAAGCCAACTGCCTCTGACTCCAAAGCCATTTTCCTTCCAGGAGTCTTTTGTTCAGCTAACACTTATTTGGCACCTACTGCCCATCAAACGCTTTGCTAGATGTTAAGGAGAGGGGGCAGCAAGACAGCCCATAGCCTAGAGGGGCTGGTGGTCAGTCGCAACCACAACACTCCCATTATACTGTTACCTCCACACCGCGGGGACCATATTTGCCACAAAGGTAATTTAAACAACTAAATGAGGAACACAGTGAGGAAAGAGTGTCCATGTGGAAGCAAACCCCCAGCAGGGCACACACCTTCCCCACCTCAACTGTTCTTTCCAGGGCCTTCAGGCTGGTCACTCTGGAGCAAGGTACCCAGGGCCCCACCTGCCCACCTGACCTCTGTGGCCACTCCCTAGACAGTGAGCTGCCAACACTCAGCTCCACTCCATCTAGAGCCTTCCCTGAGCTCCCCCCAGGGGGGTGAGTGCTCCTCCCACTGGGTTTCAGAGCACCTGTGGGTCCCCTGCTGGGTCCCTGGGCACCTGTGGGTTCCCCACTGGGTTCCTGGGCACCGGTGGGTCCCCTGCTGGGTCCCTGGGCACCGGTGGGTCCCCTGCTGGGTCCTGAGGCACCGGTGGGTCCCCCGCTGGGTCCCTGGGCACCGGTGGGTCCCCCGCTGGGTCCCTGGGCACCTGTGGGTTCCCCCGCTGGGTCCGTGGGCACCTGTGGGTTCCCCCGCTGGGTCCCTGGGCACCGGTGGGTCCCCCCGCTGGGTCCCTGGGCACCGGTGGGTCCCCTGCTGGGTCCCTGGGCACCTGTGGGTTTCCCCGCTGGGTCCCTGGGCACCTGTGGGTTTCCCTGCTGGGTCCCTGGGCACCGGTGGGTTCTGCCGGGTCCTGTCCTCCCAGCACTGCGCCCAGTGTTGTAAATGTCTGTCCATCTGCTTGCACCCCACCCCACTCTGCACACTCCCTAAAGCAGCCTTTGCACATGCACTGCCCCGCCCCCGTGTCCAGCCAGCACCTGGCGTAGAGCTGGCATCGCACTGAGCTCAGATCTGCTTTCCTTCCACCCTGACCCCTGTCACTCCCCCTTGGTGACCTCAGTCTCCTGGGACTTCCAAATGTAGCCCACCCTCAATGCCCCATGTGGAGTAAGGACCGGTGTCCTCTGGTGACCTGGGCAAGGCACCCCCAGAGAAAAGACAGACCAGTGCTCCAGGGCTGACCGGAGACAGCCTGCTCCCAAAGGCAACAGAAACCTCTGAAGGGAAATGCCCAGCCTGAAGCCCCCAGCTCGGTGCACTAATGAGTCAAACTTCCCAGCAGCCCATTCCCGACAGCGTCTGCGATCCGCAGCATCCACTCCCAAGTCCTACCTTGAAGGTTTTATCCATAGATGCTGAGAGAAGCATGTGGCTCTGCGACGGGACGGGGCACCACTGGGTGCTGTTGACGGGGCCCCCGTGGCCTCTCAGGTGGAAGAGTACGTTCCTGGGGACCCTGGTCCCCTTGTATGGACTGTCCAAGTACGGCCGGATAAACTCAGACACTCTGGAGGTCACACCGAGCGGGGCCGGGTCTGGGGCGCACCCCACAGAGGGGCCCTGGGGCTCCACGCCGGCACGGGTGCCCGTGTCTGTCTTTACTGCTTGCAGCTGCCTCAGTCTTTTCGGGACATAGGGCACGACACTGTCCTTGTGTCTCTTCCTCGGAGACAAGTTACCGTTTTCACCTGTGACTTCAGATCTGGTTGGAACACAGAAAGTCGGCTGAGGGCAATCACAGATTTCCCGAGCAAGATTTGCCCCCTTAAAGCAGGCAGCGGCCGGGGACACGTAGCCTGCTGGAGTGTGGCTGCTCCACGGGGAAGGGTGAAGAGGCTCACTGGGGGGGAAGGGGACCCCAGGCTCCCGTCTGGGCCACTGCAGCCGCTGGCTGGGGCAAGCCCTCCACTCACTTCTCCCAAGCCCAGCCAGCGGGAGGCAAAGGCTGCCTGACGCTTCAGACCCGTGCTCTGTGGGCTGCGGGCCCCCTTCCGTCACGTCCAGTATGCCAGGTGCGAAACCCTGCCCTCGAGGTCCAGCCCTATCAGAAGTGTCCTTCATCTCGCCGGCAGCATGCAGACTTCCCACAGGCTCGGGCTCAGCCTCCGAATCTGAATCATCGTACGCCACCAAAGACGCCATTGGAAATCCGGTCTCTTGTCCTTCGAGGGCAACTGCCTAAGACCAAATGAAGCCCAGCGTCAGAAAACGTACAGGGAAGAACATTCACATGCCATGAAAAGAAAACATGTTACCTAGGAAATCCAAGACTCAAAAACGCACAAATTAAATGAAAAATAAGGGCTTCTCTATACCCCCGGCATAATTAGTTAGAAGACGTCATTTTAAAACAGACTTGGGAATAGATTTAGAGAGAAATGAACAAGACTTCCCCTGAAGTGTACTCAAAACCAAACAGCAGTCTAGCCGACTACGAAGAATGCCAACCTTGAGCATTCTCCAGAACTGTCTACCGGGGTCAAAGGGACAACCGCAACTGGACGGGTCAGACAGGAACCTTAGGGGCAGTGTGCTTATGTCAATGCAGGGTGAACAACTCAGGAAAGGAGGGTGAGACGGTCGCACAACTCCAGGAGTGTGATCAGTGTGGCTCAAGGGTCCACGTACAAGGGGCTGAACCGATGTATGTTCTGCTGTGCATATTATCCACAACAACAAACACATGAAATCTGAAACCAGGTTACAACCGAGAAAACTCCAGCTGCGCTGTGGCTGTGTCACAGGCGGGTTCCAAGTTCATGGGCAGGGATGGACCTGACGGCAAAGAGGCTTGGGTTGTTTTTTCTAATTATTAAAAGATGGGGAGTCCCTGGACGTGGCAAACAAATAATGCCGCATTGACTGCTAACCAAAAGGACAGAGAGTCAAGTCCGCACAGAAACACCTCAGAAAAAAGGCCTGCCCAGCTACTTCCTGTGAGGATGGTGTGAGGGAGCAGCGTGGAAGTTGGCAGGGACGCCAGGCACCCCCACAGCAGAGGGTGCAGTGGAGCAGCCCTTAAACGGGCTGAACTCAGCCACTCAACTTCAGAGGAAGCCAGTGTGCTCAACAGTGGTGAGTTCTTCCTCCCCTCCGCCAATGTGGGATTGGAACCTCTGTTAACCCATTCCACACAGCCTACAGCCACCCCTCCTCCTGGACAGTGGGTTTAAATTACCCACCCTTCCATCCTTGTCCCAAATGGCACATGACCACCTGAGGGGCTCCACTGCCATTGTTGTTGTTGTTGTTGTTGTTGTTATTTGCCATCAAGTCAGACCCAACTCATAGTGACCCCTCCTTGGGTTTCCAAGGCAGTATCACTACGGAAGTAGATTGCCCCATCTTCCTTCCGAGGAGTGGCTGGTGGGTTTGAACCGCCTGCCTTCTGGTTAGCAGTCAAGTGCCTTAGGCACTACGCTACCAGAGTTATCCAAGTGAACAAATGTCCCATACTCACCCTGCCTCCACCAACACTCCCACCCCTACCTGCACCTAATCCAGGCAGGTAATAGCTGCCATACATAAAGCTACAGTCTTAATAAAACTTCTAAAATGAGCCAGCCCATCTCACGTGGGTTCATGATGGGACTGCGTGCTGTGCTATGAATGATTTTGACATCTCTGTTCTCTAAATTCCATCCTGCTTGACATCTCACATGTCTCAACTCTTGCACACAGCACCACCCACCACAGCCCACTCCTCCCCATCTGAGGCAAGCACAGGCCACCCCCGGGCACCCATGATCAGCCATTAGGATGAATCCCCACGAGTTGTCCCCAGTGGCCACCACACAGGACAGCCCAATGGCCAGAAACGGAGATGAAGTCTGAGAGGGTATCAAAGTAGCAGGGTAGGGCCTCGTCAATCCTACGCCCAAAGAAGGCAAGGTGGCAAGGACAGAGTGAAGGCAGGAGGAAGGATGATAGGGCTCCAGAGTCAACCTGCTTCACATACATTTCATTCAGTCATTCAACAAACACGAAGGGAGCATCCAAGTCTGGCCAAGCAGTGAGCAGAACAGTAGCCGATGCCCTGAGCACACCACGTGCACATGCCGGCAGGGAGAGACAGACCACAAACAAGTCAAACAGAGGGTGCCAGGTGGTGAGAGCCACTCAGGAGAAGCGCAACACAGAGAAGGGGGCGGGGAATGGCAGTAGGCAGGGGGCTGCAGTTTTATACAGAGAGGCCCTGGGGAGGCCTCGGAAAGGTGACATTTGGGTAAAGCTCCCAACCATCAGAACCCACTGAGTGGGGTGAGAGGGGAGCGGAGAATGGTTCAAGGCAATCAGAAAAAAAAACTGACGGGAACAACATGGACTTTAAGGAGAAAGAGTTTGCTGCCTCTTACGTTTCTAAAGTGAACGACAAAAAGAAAGGACTTTTCCCTGGAAAGGGGAGGATGACTGAAGAGGAGGACGGACAGCCACATGGAAGTAAAGACATTTATTTAAGAGGCTGAGAAAAGGGTGGGGAGAGTGGCATGACAGTCACTGGCATGTCGGCTCCGGGAGGGCAGGGCTGTTTATGTGTTTTGTCCACAGTTCGGTCCCAGCTCTGGAAATATTCCTGGAATATATACACCCTAATGGACGGGGGCAGAAAAGAAAGAAAAGAACCCCGTATTCTCATTCAACGAACATTTACTGATTACCTACTTTGCGCCAATCCCTGTGTTGGGTCTGATGGGGAGAAGAGATTAAACACAAAATACAGACTCTGCGTTGGAGAATACCATACACCAGCGGAGGCAACAAACAAGATAACGACCAGATGGGCTTTGAAGGAGGAGTAGGAGTTAGCCGAGCTGTCAGGAAGGACAGACACGGCTGATCCAGAGCACTGCGCTCTGGGAATGAACGGGTGATGAGGGGAAGGCGAGAGGGGGGGATAGGCTTGCTCTGGAGCGCTTGGGACGCTAGGACCGCGGCCGGTGCCTGCCCCGTCCCACCCCGGACCCGCCGCTCACCACACGTACCGGAAGCGCTCGGTGCTCCCAGAGGCCGTCCAACTTGCAGTCCGCCGCCCAGCCGCGTTCCGCCGTGACGCTGGGACCGCCAGCCAATCAGCTGCTGCTTTAGCCCCGCCCCCGCGAGAACAGCCAATGGTGGTGCAGGTGGGCAGGAAGTTATTCCGCCCGGACGGCGTTTCTACGGACGCACAGGCAAGGATCAGGGGCTAACCCGGCGGTGCAGACCGACTGGCGGGGCTAGGTGAGTGGGAGTGTGAGGTAGGTAGGGAGCGAGGCCGGGCGGCATCCGGTGGTCTGCTCTCCCGGGGCCGTCTTCACGCCTGGGCCTGGGGTGCCCTCAGAACCCGGCGTGCTGCCTGAGGGCTTCTGGCACCGCAAGGGGCGCGGAGACTTCCACGACTCCTCGCCCCCTTTCTGCGAGCGACGCCGACCCGCCCTATATCCCATTCCCGCCAGCGTCGATTCATTATTATCTGCAATGTCTTTTTCCTCCAGCCCTAAGGGGCGAGGTCCCTACTTTTGGAGTGCCCACCGTGTGCCAGGTTATCAGTATCGTGCTTTGGTTATTAGTATCGCACTTCTCCCGTCATCTGGGAGCCTTCTTTGTGCGCGTTTCACAGATGAGGACGCTGAGGGAGGAGCTGAGAGGTGACGTGACTTGCCCAAGGTGTCATAGTGAGAAAATGCCCGAGTTGGATTGAAACCCGGGTCTGTCTGACCCCAGTGCTCTTGATCTCTCTGCACTGCGCCGCCTCTGTGGACGCCAGCGGCCGGGAATTTCCTGTTTGCCTTCTCGCCCCGCACGATTACACACAAACACAATCCATCACGCTTGACTCTGAGGGTGGGAACGGGAAGAGGGTGGAGAGGTTATATGGCAGGCAGTCCGGGCTGTAGGGTGGCTGATGCAACATGAGTCCTGGGCTGGCTGATGCAACCAGGGGCTAACAGCTCTCTCCCAAGGGGTTTCTTTGTTCTCCGACCCAGCCCCGCACCCACCGACCCCTGATTGGACATTCGGTCGCGTCGCCTCGCGGAGGCTGGTCTAGAGGCTCAAGTGTTTAGAAGAATCAGAGCAATTTCTAGGAAACCCCCCCGAGTGCAAATAGCTGAAGGGTGGGGTAAACGGGAAAGAGAAATCAGCCTTTCCTAAAAGTGAAACTGAAACAGAGGGGCAGACTATTAAAGGGGACCCTGGCCGCTGCGGGCAGTCCCAGCTCCTCAGCTGCCCAGCCCGTGTGAGCAGCCACCCTCTGCAGTCCCCCACCGCCTGGGTACGTATGGCCGTCTTTGTTGTGCTTAGAGCTTGCTAGGTCTTATTTTTAACCAGCCCTTGACAAAGTGCTGGGTACCTTGGCTTTGCGGGTGAGGGGCTCTCAGGCGCAGGATCTTGTCCATTGTCTTTCCTCCTGCTGACCCTCAGCACCGTGGAGCACGGAGGTAGTGGGTCCTACTTCAGTCAGCCTTGCCTCTCAGCACCTTCAGGTGGGCTGTCCTGTTTTCCACTGACACGACCTTTTTAAAGAGGCGACATCTGACCAGATTAGCATTGTTCATTGTGGTACCCAAAATTATCTGTGCCTTGCTTCCTCTGAATTAATGGCTTCTCGTAAGGTAACGTGCGTTTTATCATTTGGAGGGAAAGAGAATTTTTCTTTGTAGTGCCAAAAAAAAAACAGAATGTGATCGGTTCCGAGGTTGGACGAGTAAAGAACTCCTTGGTCTAAGGAGCTTGTTTTCCTGTCCTCTGGGAATGTGCCAGTCCGGTGCTGGTATCAGCCGCACCCCGGAGCCGGGACCCTCCAGTGTACTCCAGGCATCCTGAAACTCCTGGGCCCCTGCTCTTCCTGGCTGCTCCAGAGTCGGTTGTGGGGATGCCCCCCTTCCTACCGACTGCGGCATCGCCCTGTCCCAGCCTTCTCTGTGAGGTGACTGGGTGTAGCCCAAGGGAAGTTCTTTTGGTCTGTTGGTTATTCTTCCTGTCCCGCACCCCCAAACAGTGCCTGGTTCCTCCAGGAGCCTGTTACCCTCCCCCAGAACAACAGGGCCTTTTCGTGTCCTTCACGAGGTGCCAGGATCTGCTGTGGAACGTGCTGTTTGCCTCTTACCCTCTCAGTGCTTCGGGTCCAAGGAGGTAACAGATGGCTTCCCAAGGTGGAGTTTCATCTCCGTTGTTTCAGATTGTGGTTCTCATTAAATACATAATGCAGCTTTCTTTCACACGGCCTCTACAGCTCTGTCCACAGTTTATGTGGCACCCCAGATTCCGCTTAGAACCCTGCACGTCCACATGCAAACTGTGGGTGAAATTTCAAAGTTAGTTCACAAAGGCGAACAGGAGATGACTAGATGGAGTGGGGAGGGAGGCACAGTGAGTGGGGGGAGTAGGAAGGAGTAGGGAACGAGGAAGATGATGGGTCTACTCTGCCTGTCGTTGAGCACTCGCAAAGCACAGACACACAGGAAGTTGTGTCCGACACACACACAAGATTTCAGTGACGTGAGTAATTCCCACATAGGGAACGCATTCCTGTGGAGCCTGGGAACAGGGAGTCAGTGTTAGTTCCTCTCTCCCTCTTCTCACGTGGGATTCAAAGATGCATGTTTCTTTTCCTACAACATGGCCCTTCCTTGTAGGCCCAGTTCCTCTAGCTGATCCTGTGCCAGAGACGGGGTTGTCTGCTCCACCATGGGGGGAGATGGGACTGCCAGGGCTCGCCCACACCCTGGGCCAGTCACTGCCTGGACCTCTAGGCGTTTTCAAGCAGTTTCCATCATACGTGATTTTCATCCTACTCATTGACTTCAGAACCTTCCTGCCACTGCCTCTTGTCTTCTGGGCAGGACACCTCATTTTTTGGGAGGACAGGGATACATTGAAGGGAATTCTGAAATTCTAGGAGAGTGGGTAGATGTTAGCAGAGGGTAAAATGACTGGAATTTAGGGGGAGGGCAACTTGAAGAAGAGGAGGCACAGGAGATCAACTGGCCTCTCCCAGGTCTCAGAGGACTTAGCTCAGTGTCAGAGTGAGCGTTCCTTTATTTCAGCAAGAGGCTGTCCGCTGTATGGGGGGAGTCGGCCTGGCAGCAGATAAGGACTTGCAAGGTAGCAGAAGAGGACAGACCCTTCCAGAAAAGCTGAGCTCGGTGACTTCTGAGATTTCGTTGGTTGGTAGGCGTCTGCTGGTGAGCTGTTGGCAGGTGTTGGAGTGGCCAAGACCTAACTGAGTGAAACACAGCGTGAGCTTTGAGAAAGCTCCTGAGGGGGTGATTGGGGTTGCCAAGGAGGGGCGGCCAGCTTGGCCCGAGGTGGGTCAGGAAGGGCTGTTGTCAGGCTGAGAAGGGCGTTTAGGGCGGGGGATGGCTGGATTCTGAGAACACAGGGTCCAGAGAGGCTTTGAGCACCTCCAGCAGTAAACCTTTAGGAGGGTGTCCTAACCTCCCTGAGTCACCGACTTCAGCTGCTGCTGCAGAATGGATACCGTGGGGCCTGGCTCCAAACGTGCGAGAAGCAGGGACCGTGTGTAAAGCGTTTGGAAGAGGTGCCTGGGCGCTGGGGCTCTGCTGTTACCACTCTGGTTGTCACTTGGTGTGAGCAGTGACCCTCAGAGATGGGGAAGCCCCTGGGACTTGGACACTAGCTTGAGGCTGGGGGGCAGCGGGGAGCCTGGGTGTGTCTCCTCCCGCAGCACTGGTCAGACAATGGCACTTCCTCATTCCTGCTCTACCAGGTCTCCCCAGACTGCGGGCAGCATGC